GTAGAAGAGGACAAATTAGGAGAGGAGCATTGGGAATTAATAAAGAGGGAACTTTAACCAATTACCTACTCAGTATCACCTGCCTAATGCACTGCAGAGCTTTTTCCCCTAGCGTCCTTTAATGTTTTACCCTCTGCAATTTTGGAGGAAAGGTATAATAATAATCTCTTTTGCAGAGCAAACCTGGAGAAACCTGAAAGCTTTGCCCATCCACTTCTAACATCTGCTTTTATAGCAATTTGCACCCTCTCGTTATAACTCCACTTACGAATAGTAGTGTCACTCATTCTGAGATGACTTCTTTTGCTTCCTAGTGCTAGACAGCATCCCTAAACATCACTCGGAATGTAGCAAAAACATTTTCAGCCCCTCAGTACTCATACTGTTTCAACCCAGAACACTCGAAAAAACCTCTAATCCTTTTCAGTATAAATGTGTTATTTATCATATGTGAATAATGTGGTGAAGAACAAAAATTTTAAGACCACACGTAGTTGGTTTTTCTGTCTACGCCAATTTAAAATCAAGAATGATTACTTTTCAAAGGCATCCTCCCAATATAGCATTTCCTTTTGTGGCACTGCTGCAATATTTAAATAGATTGGTTTAGTCTAATATTGTTGGGCGTGCTTCTGAATTAATTTCCTTCTGGAAAGCAACAAGTAGACAATTTTAACTATATGATAAATTACGTTGCCAAATGAAATGGATTAGTAATCAGAGATAGGCTGTCAGATCAATTTCAGATTTAAATTCCCCTTTTCCCTTCACCTGTTCATTAAGCTTCAGATGCATAGCAATCTTAGTGACTGATTATGCATTAACAAGCTGCTCATACAGGGAGGTGTAACTTAGTAAACAGACCTTACTAACATATTCATTTAAACATAATTCAGAGCTAATATATTCAGTTCACAATTCAACCTATAAACACCCTGTTTCTCCCCTAAAGTTTAATTTTTGGCTTGACAGGGAAGTTATAGTTCATACAATTATGATATAACAAACCAGAAACTTTCTAAAGATCAAAGGAAACCAGGGGAAAACTCAAACAATAAAATCTTATGCTCTGTGCAATTTAAAAGAACAACCTATATTTTAATGGGTGTTTCTTATATGATCTTACTCCTGCTCTTTTATTTAAGTTCAGTTTTCAAAAATCTACTGAAATATTGAAAAAATGCAGAAAAGAGCAATTGAGATTATCAAAACGCTGGAGCAAGTCCCTTTTGAAGAAAGAGATGTGGGTTTTTTGCTGGAAATAAGATAAATTATTCATGTTGTGGGGGGAAAATTGGTAGAAAAAGGCTTTCTCTGAAATTATTAGAACATACGATCAAACACTGGAACAGAGTTGTGGAAAACTTAAGATAGATACTTCTTCACATAATGTACAGTAGACAGGACAAGTGGCTATTGTAAGATACAGAGATAGCCACTAAACCTCAGTTTTAAAGGAGTGCTCATATTAACAGATATTAAGAATATAATGTACAACTTCCAGTAACTGAAATAGTCTAACAGCAGGTGGCAGCACCTAACCAGCTTTAACTGATCTTGAAAAAAACTAGGCAAAGTTGGATGTGGTTAGCAGTTACATTAAAAAAAACTTTATTCAAGAAGTGAACCATGGTGAATCATGCCAGAAAAACTGACAAACTTCTGTTTTCCTTTTTCTAGATCTGGACCATGTCAATCTAGTCATTCTGAGCAGCGGTCCAGCCATTTTCTAGCCCTGAATCATTCATAAGAAGTGGTTTCTAGAGTTCTAATTAGATACCATAAAAGTTTAATAAAAATATGATTGGTCACAGAATCAACCAGATATTTAGACTGGATTTGGCATCTATCGAAATCTTCCCAATGACCTGGGGCATCATCGTAGGATAAAAGCAATTGACTGGTGGTAATTTTGTCTATGCTGATGGTATTCAAGTAGTGCTCATGTTTTTGGGAGGATTGCACCGAAAGCACCTATCACTATGGGTACTATCTTTGCTTTCTTTTTACCTGTCGTCTACTTCTGTTTTCAGGTCTTTGATTTTGGTTTTTTTTTTCAAGTTCTTTATCTTATAGTCTGCTTTCTCCAAGGACTGCCATGTCCACTAACCAGACTTTTGTTTTTGTCTTTCTTATCAATAATTGTTAAGTCTGAGTGCTATGTGACCCCAAAGCACTTTAGCTTCTTCATTTTCTATTACTTTGGGTATTCTGTGGCCGCCACCAGTTCTTGCTTAAAGGCAAATAGTGTTTCTTGCAGATATTCCAATGTACCATTGTTACTATTTTGTCATGCCCTTGTTTGTAGTCAGTCAGTCTGTGTAATCTTCTTGCAGCTGATCCACTCTTCAGCTTCTTTGCAGGTGCATCACTTGCTGTCTTCTCAATTTTGGATTTAGCAATAAGCAACAAGCACTTAAGACTTATATACTGCTTCATAGTGCTTTACAGTGGTTTACAGATTTGGCATATTTCCCCCAATGATCTAGGTCTTCATTTTACTCACCTCGGAAGGATGGAAGACTGAGTCAACCTTGAGCCCGTGAAACTCAAACTGCCAAACGGCTGGCAGCAGCAGTCAACAGAAGTAGCCTACAGTACTGCATTCTAACCACTGTACCACCACAGCTCTTTATATGAATTTGTGGTTAAGGCTTTGGTCTTGTGCAGCCAGAATTAGTCCCTTGGTCTCTATTTTCAACTTGCCTGCTCTTAGCCATTGCCAGATCTTGTTATTATGTGCTTTGCCTAATATCTGGAGTAGCACCATGCCCAAGGTCATATAAGTACTCATCTTATTGACATTTAGAAAGCTGCCAAGACTTGACTATTTCAGAAAGTGTTCAGGAACCGATAGAATGGTGGGGTCCCCATCCTGATGTAGGTTAGGTGAGTGTTTTTACTGAGAATGACATTCTTAAATGGAATGGATCTGGATTTAATATTATTGTTTTATATTATGTTATCATTTATTGTTCTCATTTTCTTGTTTATTATACTGCAGTGAATTTTTCTTAGAGTACTGTACAAATTAAGTAGCTTATAAACCTTCAGGAAATACAATAACTAAATTTAAAAGTACAGATTGTCCTTGTTTAACATCTATTCACTTAGCAAATATTCAAAGTTACGACAACACTGAACAAAGAGATTTATAATTAGTTTTCAAAGTTCCAGCTTTGTAGTGCTCCCATGTCACAAAAACAAAATTCAGACACATTCGGACTCACCTGAATTTACAACCATATTTTTTCCACCTTCCTCCCCACTGCATCCCCCACCAGGCCCTGTCCACTGCCACCATGTCTTATACAACAGAGATCCCCAACCCCTGGGCCACAGCCCACTACTGGACCTTTAGTTGTTTGGAACTGATGGTGGAAGTGGTGGGCACGTGCGCACATCCCCACTTGCGCAAGCAGTGGGTAAGCGTGTGTGCGCATGCTCCATTTGTGCAAGTGGTGTGTGTGCTCACCACTCATACAAATGGAGCTGCACACGTGTTTGCACACTATTCACGTGGAACATCCCCTCTCCCCCTCTGCTGATCCGCAAAGCCAAAAAGGTTGTGGTACTCTGCACTACAACACACACCTCTACTGGATCAGCCAGAGTATTTTTTTTCTCACTGACGTCTTTCACAGCAGTACACCTGGAGCCTCCATTTGCACCCAACTCAGGATCTCTGTTCATGCCAAAATGGCCTATATTTCATGCAACAATTTTCTTTTACACACTAGCTGGATCTTTCTTTCACGAAACAAAGTCCTGGATAGCACATAGGAAAAGTCTGAATGATGCACAGAAGCCCCAGTTGCAGAGGTATAAAAAAAGGGAAGTTTTCTTTGCTTCTGTATTTGTGTTAGTTTTTATGTTCTCTTTATTTTTTTAAATAAATTTATATATAAAAAGAGAAAGATAATGAATTAGCTCAGTTTTTCCCAATCTAGTGCCCTCCAGATATATACTGCAAATACATCTAGACAGAGTACCTGAAATTTCAAATTCTGGTTTGATATTGAATACAGCATAAGATTAACTATCTTTGACCATCATTACTTTAATATCAGTTCATAACTACAGTGATAATAACAGAACCAAAGCTTTGGATAAATTAGTTGCATCTTCTGGAGCGCAAGACACATATGCAAAGCATTTCTTGCATATACTTTTGGAATATGAGGAAATTTTTACAAAATCTTGTAAAAATAAGAAATTTGAGAAACTGTAAAATCATCTGCAACCAAAATTCAAGCCACAATTCTGGGAAAAAGAAAGATCTAATAGTAAGAACAAAAAATATTGCAAACTAATATATATTTATTTAAATAAATATAGCCACATAAAGATAATGAACGCTGTCCACTTTGTAGAAATCCTTTCCATATTTTTTAAAAAACTCATTTATCCCATTCATAATATATCTCAACCACACAAAAATCATTCTGACGGTTCCTGACAGAAAGCTCAGTAAAATTTGAAAAGAAGGATACATTTCATTGTAATGCATTAGTTCATTACTCAACTGACCAGCAGACATTAAATTAAAATTAAGCATTCAACAAAACAATACACATTCATCTATTTTATAAGGCCACAAATTTGAATTTCCTTGGATATAATACCTGACAATAGAGAATGTTACTAGCATAGCAATAGTACTTTGACTTATATACCGCTTCACCGTGCTGTACAGCCGTTTACAAAATCAGCCTATTGCCCCCAGCAATCTGGGTCCTTATTTTACCCACCTCAGAAGGATGGAAGGCTGAGTCAATCTTGAGCCTGGTGAGATTTGATCTGCCAAATTGCAGGGTATCAGCAGAAGTAGCCTGTAGTACTGCACTCTAACCAGTGCACCATCGCGGCTCAATATTCTTAGCATCAACTAAGGCCACTTCCCCACACACACACACGCATTATTGTGGAAATTTCCAGAAGTTTCTTAGAACACTCAACTAAGAAACTAAATATGACATGAAAAGTATTATAAAACTTACCAGCATTAACTATGGCATCAATCTCAAGCACTGTGATATCACCTCTGTATAGGGAAACTTTTTCACTAAGACTTTTCTGCAGCAAGAAAGCTTCATTGGTGTTTTCTTCTGTAAAGAAATAGAAAAGTATTTACAGAATGGTAGCCATCCCCTTATGTTGGAAAATGAAAAAAAAAAGCCAATTTACCTACTATCAGTTTAGTACCATAAACATTAGAATAAATATTACAAATATATATATATATAAATTTGCATACTCAAATACTTAATATATACAAATATAAATATAAACTATGCCATATGAGTTTCAATGTACAAAGCAGTTCAACCCCAACATGTATTTATTGCAGGGACATGCAGTCAGGGGAGGCAGGGCCTCACTACTGTCATCATGAAAAGGAAAAAGAAAAAAAAAGGAAAAAGGCTGAGGTAGTTGCTGCCAGAGTCACAGTGAATGACTCTGCTTAATCCTTAACTGCAGGAGGAGGCGAGAGAACCACATGCCTCCTTTAATCTACCTTTATGATCACTTGAGCAGAGTTAAGCAAGGGTTAAAAGGCGAAAAATTTATTATGCAAAGGAGGCACGTGGTTCTCTTGCCTCCTCCTGCAGAGGGCACTTTTTTTAGAGGCTTTTTTTAAACAGTTAAGCAGAGTCATCCGTTGGAGGCTCTGGCAGCAGCAGCTCTTGCCTTTTTCTTTTTACATTTTTTACATTTTCATCATGGCAGACAAGAGCACAGTTGAAATCGTCTGTGACACAGCTGGAAAAGGTATGTGGGTCGGAGGGAGGGGGAAGTAATTCAAAATTAATGTAATTTGTAAGTAATTGTGTTATTGTAAGTAGTGTGTGTGTGGTGTGTGTGTGTGTGTGTGTGTGTGTGTGTTTTACCTGCTTCTGCTGGCGCGCAGGCTGGCACTTTATTTTTTATATGGGACAGAGCTCTGCTCAGGTGGGTGAAAGAAAGTGCTTTAATCAGTGGGGTGCATGCCGGGAGGAGAGGAGACATTCTCTCCTCTCCTCACGGCTTTCTTTCGCCCGCCTCAGGTGCGGGCGAAAGAAAGCGCTTTAAACAGTGGGGTGTATGCCGGGAGGAATCTCTCCTCTCCTCCCGGCATGCACCCCACTGATTAAAGTGCTTTCTTTCGCCCGCCTCGGGCGCTTTAATCTCTCCTCTTCTACCGGCACGCACCCCACTGAAAGCGCTTTAATCAGTGGGGTGCATGCTGGGAGAATCTCTCCTCTCCTCCCGGCACGCACCCCACTGAAAGCGCTGAGCTCTGCTGCGGGCGAAAGAAAGCGCTTTAATCAGTGGGGTGCCGGGGGAGAGGACTGCCTCACCAGCCATAAACTTCACCGCACATCACTGATTTATTGCTTATGTTCACCTTTTTGTTTCTGTTTACGAAACCTAAAAGGATACAGTCCTCAAGTTATAATGACAATTGAGCTCAAAGTTTTTGTTGTTAACCAAGGCAGTTTTTGAGTTTGCCCTATTTAACAACCTTTCGGCCACAGTTGTTTAACCAATCTCTGTGGTTGTTAAGTGAATTATATGGCCATTATACAAATCTTCCCCCACTAATGTTGTTTATCAGAATCCAGCTGAGAAGTTTACAAACTGTGGTCTCAGAACAGTACAACTGTCATAAATACATGCCAGTTGCCAAGCACTTGAAATTTGATCATGACCATGTATTTGTATGTTTGTATTATGTCATGTGTTTTATAGGTCATTAGATTTTTAGTAAAACAATCAAACAGGAAATCAAAAAGCCTTTATTTCACTATGAAATCTGTAACTTGTATAGCTTTTTACTTGGCTAACAAAGCAGAAGATAATCTCCAAAATGATGATATGGTGTGCTTGATTTTATCAAGTGAAAGAATACTGGCCTGGCAAAGTATTTAATTAGCCCATTTCCGCCCTATAGAGCTCCAATTGCACTGATTAAGATTGCAGTGTGAATTAGTTGTGGTCTGTTCCACAAATGATGTCTTTGCATAGTGCCACAACACATATTTAACGTTCTTGTGCATTCAAATCATCTTCAAAACTTCACAGATGTATTACTGAATGACAGGTCTTTTTTTATCTGTGGCCTATCCACCTTACAATAAAAATCCTAATTATTGAATCAAACAATTAATGTTTTCCCCAGACTCTTAATTACTCACCAAGCCTTATAACTGCAATTTCCAATTGGCCATTTTATTACCTCTGTGATCATGTTGCAAATTTCTTTGGGAGAGCTCATTGAAACTAGCATTAGATAAGAATACAAACTTCTCCAGAGATAAAGGAATGCTCCATGAGGGAAATGTAACAAAGCAAGATTGCTGTGTCTTATTCTTCTGTGTCCCCCAGAAGCCATGAATAACCTGAGAATTCCATTTTCTGTACTTATTCTATAACTTTTGAAAAGGGATTGCCTAGCACATAGCTGTCAAACTCCCGGCCCACGGGCCGGATACGTCACACACTGCCCATACCCATGGCAAGTTTAGCAAAGAAGAAAAAAGTCCTGATACATCACATGATAATGCCATGATAACGCGGGTTTGACACCCCTGGCCTAGCAGGAGAGGTATGCATACACTAAGTGCATCTTATACCATCACCTTTGAAAAACTAAGCAAACATTAAGTACTTATTTATAAAAGCAATGAAAATGCAATCCTTTTTGTATTTAGAATTTAACATCATACACTACTGAATTCTCTTATTAAAAGTAGCCAAAGGGTTATCATCTCTGTATTACCCAGAAAAGAACAGCAACCAAACCCAAAACAAGCTATCCGGTTCCCTACAATGTGCTAATGGGACCAGTATCTACAATAATGGTATTTTGCAAGACTTCCAACATTAAAGTTTAAGCAAATCTTAGCCATTCCATTCAGAAAATTTACATGCAGCATTCAATGCACAGTTTTGAAGCAAATAATTGTGCAGGTTATATAATGTGCAAGACTAGGTGTGTATTTGAAAAACATTACAGCTGTTATATAAAACACAATTATTCCTACCAGCTAACAAGTTGATGTTAACACATCCAATTGGTAACTCAAACCTTAATACACAATATCACAATCTGATTGGTAGCAGTACAAATACCACAGCTCCCCAGGAAATTACTGACAGAGTTGTTACATCAGTATGTGTTTATAGAGTTATTTTTGTGCTGGTGATTTTCTATGAGAACACGGTACTAAATCATATGACAGCAGGCCAATAATATAAGACATTTTCCATCTATTTTATTATAAAATATAGAAAGTTAATTATGATCACAGGCACAATTGTAGCATAAATAGATTCATCAAGTTTATTAATAACAAAACCCTTTCAGGACCAAAATGGATATGCTACAGACTCCAAAGTATACCACCAGAGGGAGTATTAATCAAGACGATAAACATTTGTGCTCGAAAATTAGTACATTTTAAATCTTATTGATTCATAAAAAAGCATAAGTATAATCGAAAAACAAACTAAAGTATAGCTTTGCGTTTCAGCAAATGAACTAGCTGTCCAAGTATGGAAACACACTTTGGAATTCCTGATATTCTAGACTTATTAAAACTGTGTCCATCTGTCAAACAACTTCTAGTAGAATACTTCATTTTCTACAAGTTTAATAAATGAAAGTCTCCTCTTGTTCAATGGAGTGTACAACTATACAATTTTAGATGAAATAAAAAGGATTTAAATATATGTGTACAAATAAATATATGTATACTTTGGCTCCCGTTACTTGTCCCAGCTTCTGCCAACCTAGCAGTTCAAAAGCATGTAAAAATGCAAGTAGAAAAATAGGAACCACTTTTGGTGGAAAATAGAGGTGGGTTCCTACCAATTCAGACCGGTTCAGCCGAGTAGGTAATAACTCGGCCAGCCATGCCCTTTAACTGGTTCTATCTTGTTTTTTGCTTCTGCGCATACGTTCCGTGGGCCTTTGGCGTTTAGTCATGCCAGCCACATAACCACGGAGATGTCTTCAGACAGTGCTGGCTCTTCGGCTTTGAAATGGAGATGAGCACCGCCCCCTAGAGTCAGGAACGACTAGAACATATATGCGAGGGGAACTTTACCTTTACCTTTATACTTTGGTCT